GAGCACAAGATCAGAATAGGTTCATTTAATCCAATATATGAGGATCTCATCTAATCAGTATACTAAATTGATTTTCCCGAGGAACAATTCTATAAAGCGTTTTGTCAATATGCATTAGAACTGCATCACTGCTATCAGTGGAAATATTCAGTTTTCATGCCTAAAATGAAATAAGCACTTCGGTATGTAAGAGGATACCTAGCTTAAGCAACTGAATTATTTCTGTGTTGCCTTCGGTTTGCAGAAAACATGTTATTAGATATAATAAAAGAGTGATTGGAAATGTGTGTCTACATCATAAAATGAAAGATTAATAGTTTTTATATTAGGTACTAGTGCTAGAATTGCAGTGCCTATAAACTCTATAGAATAGCTCAGAACAGACATCTCTAAAATGAGAATGGAGCTAAATAAATGGAAATAATTTTAAAAAGTGAAAGCATCCTCATCTGATTTCAAGTGATAAATCTTACAATGATGAACGCTTGAACGAGGAACAATTTACAGTCTTAGAAATGCTTCTTAGTCATCATATTTATTAAGTGTGAATGTTACTGAAATCTATAATAGTTTTTACATAAGTCTTGAGAATTGGAAAAGGGTTTTGCTGCTGCTGTTATCATAGTCATTAATTTTGGAAGTATGGGGATTAAATTCATGCATAATGAATGCAGGAATACCCAAGTGATACATAAGCTACCTCTGAAAAACTCCAGCAATTTCAGCTGTAGAATACTTACTACATGCAGTACTAGGCTTCTATTTTTAAATAAAAATTGCTAACTTTCCTACCATTAACATCTTTTTATTATTCTGCATATTCACTATGACTATTTTTGAATTCTACCAACAATAGAATTCACATAGAAAACATTCAGGAAGGCAAATGCAAAGGCAAACATTTATTCCCTTGGCATTCCTACAAATTGAACAGCGAGAGTAAGCAAGGCTGGGCTACTCATGCCTTGAGGTGTATGTGCAGCCCTGGGAAGTGCCTTTATCCACGATTGCAAAAATACTGTAGCATATTCTTGATATTATGACATTATGAACGGTTTGATACTTTGGTATATTTTCGTAATTCTCAATTTACAACCATTTGTTTAGTGACAGTTCGAAGTTACAAAGGCAGTGAAAAAAGTGACTTATGGTGGTTTTTCAAACTTACAACCATTTCCGCAACCCCACAGTCATGCGATCAAAATCCGGGCATTTGGTAACTGGCATGTATTTATGACAGTTGCGCTGTCCTGTGGTCATATGATCACCATTTGTAACCTTCCCAGCTGGCTTCAGACAAGCAAAGTCAATGGGGGAAGTCAGATTTACTTAATGACTGAATGATTCACTTAACAACTGCAGTGATACACGTAGCAAGAAAGGTCATAAAATGGGGTCCAACTCACTTAACAACTTCTTAGCAGCAGAAACTTTAGGCTCAATTGTGGTTTAAGTCAAGAACTATCTTAATTAAAAATAAAAAAAATCTCAATTCTCCCTCAAACCCATCTCACCAACACAATCTGCAACCCTTGCCTCTTCCTAAAATGTCATCCTTGGCCACCAAAGATTGCCCATCCTTACAGAGGATTCTTCTTTATCACTATACAGATGTCCAGTGAGTCCACATGGTGTAATGGCTAAAGGCATTGAGCTAGAAACAGGGAGATATGAGTTCTATTCTTGCCTCTTAGGCCTAGGAAGCAGTCAATGGCAAACCACTTCCAGAAACCTGTCAAGGAAACTTCACAGACTTGTTAAGGCAGTCAGCAGGAGTAACACTGACTCAAAGGTGTATGCACACACACAGACACACACACAGAGACACACACACAATTATGTAATGATGAGGATGTGAAAGCTAACATCCAATGAGTGTCCTTATTCTTGAAGTTCCAGGGAAGTAGACAAAATCATGTCTTCCAATATTGCCAAAATGACTAAAACTGGAATCTACCCAAAAGTGTAAACATCCGGGAACACATCCCCTTGGTAGTTTTAAGAAATTCACTCAAAATTACACATAGTTGCAGGTTTTTTATAAAATATTATTTATAAAATATTTGCAAATGGTTTTAAATGAAGCTGTTTAACTGTTATCAATTTAAAAAACTATGGATCAATATTTGAGGACTGTTTGCTTAAAATAATTAGCACAGTCCTTAGGCAATCATCTTCTGTATCCTTAGGAACCTGTCACCTTCTAGATGTTGCTAAACAACAATTCCCCTGCATATATTGTTAACTTTGATAAGAGTTGAAATCAGCAACTCTGGATTTGCAAAAAATAATCAAAGATAACAAGATCTATTAAAACCCATTAGGTAATTTTTATCCTTTTCATGGAAAGCTTTAAATCAAGAATGATAACAACAGACTCATACATATGAAAATAAGCACAGATATCACTGTCCATGATGTCCATACAAGCATTTAGCCTATAAACTGCAAAACAGCATTATGCAATTCAAAATTCCAATCAATATTTTCAATCTTTAAATAAGCAAAATCTATACATTTCAAAGTAAAATTTTGATTTTTAAAAAGTTATTTTAATCTTATTCCTTCTTGAAGTAGCAGATCAATTCAAAATCTGTGACTAGTAGAGTCTGCATAATTGCTGAATTTGCAAAGTCTAGTTTGTCGCTATTTTTTCAAATCAAACAAAGAGGAAGGAAATAAAATTTCAAAGAGAAGATAATGCTTAATTGTTAGCAAGCAAAGATACATTTAAATCATGATTAGCAGGTGACAGAATACCCCTTTCCTCTACAAGAGTAAACTAAATGTAACTATTGCAGATCACAGTTATTTCAATATAAATAAATGTTAATATCAAATCCTTTAAAATGCTATACATGGAACATGAGATTTGGCTTTCCTTGTAACTTTTTGTAGCATTTTCTCAGCTCATTGGGAAGTAACCTTATATTTGTTGCCAAAATTTTGAAAAGCAGTACGATTTCCTTCTCACTCAGTTTGAAACTGATCCAGGAAAGAGTGGTTTTATAAAGCAATTCATTCAACATTCCTACTGTTTCAGAATTTGGAGAAAGCCTGAGACTCCCTCCGTCTCATGCACATACCCCTAACAGCTCAACCAGATTGGGCACTATGTTAAAATAACTGAATACTATAAAATTCTCAGTCTAACCAGGATAACTTTGATGTTCAACTCCCCAAGACACTCTTTTTTTCCCCTTAATGTAGCAGCAGCACATCATTTGATGGAAAATGCTTATACATCAAAAAATGTTCTCTAGTCAGGAAAAAAGAAGACTTCATCAAAAATGAAACAGAACTATGAATATACACTATATTACCAAAAGTATTCACTCACCTGCCTTTACTCACATATGAACTTATATTGGCTCCCAATAGATGTTCAGGTGCAATTCAAGTTTCCTGGTTATTGCCTTTAAAGCTTTAGCTACCATAGAACCGAGCTACTTGCAGGACTACCTGCTCCCCTCAACCTCTGTCTGCCCCATGCATTCCCATATGGACATGCCACATGCTCCAGATCTCTGCTGACTGATGTCCAATAGATGTTGTTACAAATTCTCTATCCAATACTCATATTAATACAGAACAGATAAATGAAAATCAGTCTGATAAAATCCAGACTAACTATAATTAGCACAAAGAATAATGAAAAAAGTCATTAATTTGGAGACATCACGTTATAACTGATATGGATCTGTAGGATAATAAAAATGAATGAAGCATGGAGTAGACTAAGGAAATATCTAGCCACATTATAGGCACTAATGCAGTGTCAGTGACTCAACAATGAATCCAAAGGCAGGGGGGAAATACTAACAGCAATTCAGTCGGGAAGACATAATCACAGGTTAAATATTGTAAGTTCATATGCGAGTAAAGGCAGGTGAGCTAATACTTTTGGCAATATAGTGTATTTCTACAGTACTAGCTTTCGTGGCATTGAAGAAATCATGTTATTTAACAAAACATGCCCATCAACCAATTTTAGAACACAGCAGATAATCCATCAATAACTACCAGCTTATTGATGCAATCGATCAGCAATCCAGGCTGATCAGAGGTTGGACATCACAATGACTAGCTTATTACTAGTTCTGTAAACTGTCCAACTGAGATTTTAAAACAGATAAAAGATTTGGATGTACAGCACATTTTTATAAGTCTATCACCATTTCCCATAAAGACAGATATGCCTTTCCATTTTTGCAGTGAGGAAAAAAAGGTGTGTCACTTGATGGATTTTTTTTAAAGTAACATGCTGCTTTGGTTTTAAGCTTCACTCAGTTTCTATTAAACTAAAAACTGGGGCTGCCAGTTAGCTTTTAAATATAACAAAAAAATCCTTGCTTTTTATTAGGGCTGAGCCTAATAGTCAAATAAATTACCCTTATTTTCAAGATAGTATAAGCAGCATCAGCTTTATATACAGATAGTTTCCCAGAGCAGACATTCACTTTCTTTCTTTCAATAAATCTCAATGAAAGAAAAACCCCTTTAAGTAGAAGATTTACTGCCAAAGACCAAGTACTTTTGAAAATATACATTTTGCTCTTTTCTAGGATTTCCCTGAAGAGGTCATTGCTAATAGTTTTCGTCTCACACCAAGGCACACTAGCAAAATAGCCCGAAGCAGTCTTCTCTGCATCTCCCTCCCTCCCTCTCTCCCACCCACCCACTTATTCACAAGCACACACGCAGCCCGAGAACAATACACTGATCGGCGCGGTTCCTTTGCGCCCCGCCCGTCCTCCCCCCCCCCCCCTTGCACTTAACGGAACAGTGTGAGAAGAATGGGCAGGTTTCTTCATTAACTGTTCTTAAAAGCTCTGTAGGTTTTTAGTAAGCAGGCCGTCGCCTTAGAAAGGGCGGACTGACCCAGCCAAGTCCGCTCCAATCCCACCCCCCACCAACCTCGCCCGGAAGGTTGGGCCCTAAGTACATCTCTCCCCTCTCCCGCCCCACTCTTCCCCGCGGAGAGGCAGTCAACCTGCTACCTGAGCTGTCCATGGTGCTGCAGTCGAGCGGCTGATGCTGATGCTGTCGCGCTGGGCTCCTGGCTGCTGCTACCACCGCGGGGATCACCCCTTGTTTGCCGAGGTTGCCGCTGCCGCCGCCGCCGCCGGTTCGCTCCCGGCTGCTGCAGAAGTCACCGTTGCTGTCCACCAGCTGCAAAGATTCATAGCCATCATTGTTGGTCTTTTTCCGGTAGCTCCCGAGGAGACTCATGGGCGAGTCAGACAGAGTGAGTGTCACCGCGGACATAAAAGGCGGGAGAATCGCAAACAGCTCACCTTCCCCTAGAGGCGGAAGCAGCCACACACCCAGAGCGGGGCTGCAGCCCCAGAAGGGCCTTACTTGCTGGCTGACTGGGTGTGAGCGCAGGCGGTGGAGGCAAGCGACCTCCCCGCCTCTCGTCTCCCGTCCCCGCCTCTGCCTGGCAGCTATTGGAGCAGCTATTGGGAGGCACACCTTGCCTGCTGCTACGGACACTGAAGTCCGACCCTTAAGTCTCTAATGCCTACTGCTTTCAGGAAGCGATGCCCGGAAGCAATGTAAGAAGGCCTCCAGCGTGCCTGCGCACGCTTCTTACCGCTTCGCTTCCACACCGTCCTGCTGCTTCTAGAGATCTAGAAAGGAGCAAGATCAAGCAGCATGCAAAGCGGCATGGCCCCCTGCAGATCATCTTCATCCCGATTCAAGGCAATCAACATTTCAAGGTTAAAGAAAGGCAGCAGGCACAGGCAGGAAGTGGATAGAATCTATCCCACTCAAAAATCCAAGGTCGGAATCAAGCAGGCAATGGTTCCCCCCCCCCCCTACTCTATGGAAGCATTAATTGGACTTTGAAGAAGTGGAGTAGAAAGAGCTGTTTACATTTTTGAATTTTTTTGTTGAAGAAGAATCTTGAAAATGCAACTGATAACCAAGAAGACAAACCAAAGAATTGTTGAACAAATCAATCCAGAGTTTTCACTTGAAGTGCACATGACCAGGTTCAAATTATTATACTTTGCACAAATTATTCGGTGGACAAGCTCTCTGATGAAATCTATAATAATTTCAATGGTGAAAGGAAAGGGAAGATGAGCAGTAACAAACTGGATCAATTACAGCAGCAATGAGTGCACTACTGGAGGCCCTATAGACCAAGTTGAGACAGATCCACCTGGAGAAAAACTATGTGATCACTGAGGGTCAACACTAATTTGACAGGACATAATCAAGTCTCAAAACCTCACTGGTGCCCTATTCCTTTCTTATAGCCTAAGCTTCCTTTATCTTTATATCTTAGAAAAAGTGGGAAATTGGCCAACTCTTTGCCATCTAGTCTTTCCTTATCACTATCATCAGAGCCAGAAACATAGCAGATACAGTGAATATATGCAATAGAAGTATCTACTGAAGCTTTCTTTATAAGTCACTTTCGCTAGTTATACTAATATCATTCAAAATGTTACAGCATTTTCATCCACACAATAAATGCTAGTGGTCTATGCAAGAGACTGTTACCTGGAATGCAGATCCAAACTTTTACTCAGATGGGCTAGCTTGGGTAAATAAAAGAACTATATTTTTCTAAGTGAAACTCACTGCAATAACGTAAGGTCTATATATGCTGTCTTTTTATTCTAATAATTAGTACATCTTCCAAGGAATGGTTTCTGTTTCACTAATTGTAATTGGATTTTTTAAAATTATATCCCTAGGATTTGTATAAATTTATATATCTTATATTTGGTCAGTTACTACAAACTGCAAGATGGGCAGAAAATAAATTTGATAATAATAGTTTAATTCATCTCTAATCCATTTCCAATCCTGCCCATTCATGCAGTCAGAAATTCTAGTACATTTAATTAAAATTGTTTTTTAGAAAACCTTCAGAGGTGCTTTGTTTTGCTTTTATTGAAATTTACAACTGTAGAAGTCAAACAAGCTGCAGGCACAATTTAAATACCCATGGTAAAAATCCACTGTTCCTGCATCGGATTCTAAGAGAGAGAAAAAGTGTCCCAAAATATTATAGGCTGGCATTTTGGACTGGGACATTCTGGACATTCATGTTTCTCCTATCCTTGCTTGATTCAACCCTGCTCATATTAACATTTTTAAATAGGAGAGGATAACGCACAACAATCAGATTTCAGTATTCAATTGATATGTTTGCAGTTTATGTTCTCATAAACATGTATAAAATCTTGGGTAAAACTCTATTCTATCAGATTTCTATAGTATAGACTTCCAGTTGGAGATGTTATGGCAGGTCAGTCATCTGGAGGACTGTCAAAGTAGGATAGTAGATTGGACTAATTTATTTAGTGGTGTTACTAATCTACAAGATGTAAAATCTGAATTCAGCTCCCTGAAAATTACAGTCTACAAATGTTCAATTTCAGTACCCGTTTATATCACATTATTGACAATTGCAGACTAGACTTATTTCTGTCTCTCAGCTGTTAACATAATTGTCCAAGCTGCACCTTAACAAAAATAACCTGATAGTTTTGCCTCCAACTTTTAAAAGACTCTCCAGTTGTGCTTCCAAACTTTCAGCTGTTAACATTCCCAAATCCAGTCCCTTCCCATGTTTCTATCAATATTTTTAGCAACAGAAACAAATAAAATATTATTAAAGATGGCATACAATCTTCAAAATTCAGGTTTTTACAATGCAGTTGGCAGATCCAGACAGAAAAAAAATAATCTGAGTTTGGGCTTGGTCTCCCTATATTCAACTCTTATATAGGATCTACTATTTTATACACACTCAGAGGCATTTTTGTATTGTATGATTTTCATACCAACAAAACTATGGGTTTTCTTTAACAAACATGAAGTGTTAATATCACATAATGCCTTGGTAAGGCCACACTTGGAATACTGCATCCAGTTTTGGTCACCACACTGTAAAAAAGGTGTTGAGACTCTAGAAAGAGTGCAGAAGAGAGCAACAAAGATGATTAGGGGACTGGAGGCTAAAACAAATGAAGAACGGTTGCAGGAACTGGGTAGGTCTAGTTTAGTGAAAAGAAGGACTAGGGGAGACATGATAGCAGTGCTTCAATATCTCAGGGATTGCCACAAAGAAGAGGAAGTCAAGCTATTCTCCAAAGCACCTGGGGGCAGGACAAAAAGCAATGGGTGGAAACTAATCAAGGAGAGAAGTGACCTAAGAGAAATTTCCTGACAGAACAATTAATCAGTGGAACAACTTGCCTCCAGAAGTTGTGAATGTTCCAACACTGGAAGTTTTTAAGAAGATGTTGGATAACCATTTGTCTGGAACAGTATAGGCAGGGGGTTGGACTAGAAGACTTCCAAGGTCCCTTCTAACTCTGTTATTCTATTCTATCTAGAAATGGGTTCTCAGGGAATGGATCACATTTGATTTTTTTTATCTGTTCAATGTTAATTACTCTAGATTCAGTGGTACTTGCTCTAGAATTAGTCAGGGTTTAATTGTTTTGAAAATATGGTATATCTTGGGCAAGGAACCACATTACAATTTTTAGTGCTGTTACTGGCTAAAGGGATGGGCAACTATGGCCCCTTTATGACCTGTGGACTTCAACTTTCAAAATTCCAGCATGGCTGGCTCAGGAATTCTGGGAATTGAAGTCCACAGGTCGTAAAGGGGCCATAGTTACCCACCCCGGATTGACATCTATCCTAGTGACACAGTCAGGCTGATACAGTCCTAATTAGAAACCCCAAGAAGCTTACTATTTTCATATTATGAGAACGTAATGCAATTAAAGAAACATGAGCTTCAAGGTATGGTGGTTTATCCTTGTAGAAAAATGGGTCTTTTATACACATTCTTTTAATCTTTCCAAAGTTCATGTTTTTCAGATATTTTGGGTTACTACTCCTTTCAATACCACACTTAGCCATGCTAAATAGTAACCTTTATGTGGACTACACCAACTTAGAAGAGGCTGCTTTCCGATCATGTGAGAACTTGAACTACTACAAGAAGAAGCATTTGATGTGTATTTCTGAACCATTAAAAAAAACAATCCATATTGCAGACATCTTATGATGAATAGACCCATGAAAAACGGATGAGAGCAAAACCAACATTTTGGCTATCTAGCAGACTTTTCCCTCATTCAAACAGCTATAATCTTCTTCTAAAATTCTTTTCTAATATTATCAACATCCCATCCAGTTTTAGTGTGTCTTCATTGTTTTGCCAAACCAAGATTTTTCTTTCTTTTTTAATCAACGAGGCAAAGTTTTTTTAAATAAGAGTAGGATTCCTGAGCTTTTTGCAGTTTTGAAAGAGAAACATAGAGGCAGAGTATGATACCCATCCACCAAATGTAGCTTATCATGAAACTACAGCACTTGCAGGTCCCTTTTTCCTAATTATTAAAGGAACATAAGCTGTTTAGATCTGGCCATTCTAGTGAGGCAGAGGAATTCTAATGTTTAAAATTTGCCAGCGCTACAGTGTAATTTCAATTTGCATTTCTCCTCTTCATTCAAAAGAATGCAATTTGGTAAGGAATATACCAGGAAAGGCAAGTTGAAAGTATGTGTGTGGGGGGGTGTTAATAGTGGTGTCAATAAATTCTTAAAGAATTATTAAATGGAACCATTTTGTTCCACTATTGAATTTTATAGCTCATTATAAGGCTGTACTAATGGCTTAGTTTCATTCTTTTAAATATAGATGAAAATTAATTTTGTTGGAAATTTTGTCATGAAGCAGCAATTTACAAAAGATTTTGGTGCCAAATCATTTTACTCTTTAAAGATTGCTATATTGATATAATGTGCACCAGTGGTGGGATTCAATTTTTTTTACTAGTGGTTCTGTGGGCGTGGCTTGGTGGGCATGGCAGGGGAAGGATACTATAAAATCTTTATTCCCTCCCCACTCCAGGGGAAGGTTACTGCAAAATCCCCATTTCCTCCCGATCAGCTGTGACGCGGGAGGCAGAGAATAGATGGGGGCGGGGCCAGTCAGAGGTGGTATTTACCGGTTCTGCGAACTACTCAAAATTTCTGCTACCGGTTTTCCAGAACTGGTCAGAACCTGCTGAATGCCACCTCTGATGTGCACTATTCCAAAATCCAAATTAACTAAACATGGAAAATGAATTATTGGTTCTTATAAAATAAGAGGGATATAGACAAAATATGCAGGGGAGGAAAACAACTAATGTCTGAACTTATGGTGTTTCTTCAGATTTATTGTGCTTTAACTGTGTCTAACAAGAAAATACAAGATAAGCCACAAGATAGATTGAGAGCCGTATAATTTAGGTAAAACATTCTCCAAAGGTTTTTTACATTTTATCCACCCATTACATTAGCAAATTATTCCTCTTCACATATTCTTGGAATATGTA